TTTGAATTCTTATGGTTTTATATGCTTAGGGTTTAAGAGGAAGGGGAATTCTACCAAAGAGAGATTACAGTGTTGGAATTGCTCAAATTCAAGGTAAGTAAATCCAACTTTAGCTTTGATTACATAAATACTTGTGTAGAGAAATTTATTATATGTTGTATGTGTGCTTGGATGATGAGAATTATGGATTGAAATTGAAGTTGTTTGATATGTGAATCTCACGGCTATGAGAAGTGATGTATTTGTATGTGTTGAGTTGATGGGATTTTGGATGAAATATGAAAGAATAGATGTGGAATGGTGGAGGATGAAATTCTGTTAGGGTGGTTGTTGGCCTTAGGGAGTTTTTGCTCCAATTTTGGTGGCTTGAGAAATATGTGGAAGTGTAACCAATTTAGGGTTTGTATGTGCATAGAAGGTGTTTGATGAAATGTCAAAGAAAGTGCATATGTATGAGTATGTTAGATTATTACTTTGTTATGGAAATGTTGTTGGTAGAGAATACTAGTTCCATAATGATATCTTTATATGCCATAATGCATTCTTAAATTTGAGCATTTGCATTTACAAAGAACAGTTAAGAATGAGCATATTTACATTCACATATACATGTATGAGAACATTAAAGAATAAAGAGAAAGAAAGAAAAGAAATTAATTGTAGAATCATTATCTAAAGAACATAATTAAAGAATACCTCAAATCTGAAATTTTATTTAAAGAAATATAAAAAGATAAGAGAAGAGAAGGTTGTTGCGATGGGGAATCCGTGAGTGACAGAGAAGAAGAATAGCTCGTATGCACGCCGCCTTTAGTGAGCGGCCTAAGAATAAAAAGAAGAATTTGTATAGTTAAGAAGTGCATGTGGATGAGGATTGTACCCAAGAAAGAATTTGAGAATACACTCACACAGCCAAGGTTCCGAATCCATTCTTCAATCAAGTCCGATCGGCAAAGAAAAGAAAGAATAGAATAGAAAAGAAAAGAAAGAATAGAAAAGAAAAGAAAGAAAGAATAGAAAAGAAAAGAAAGAAAGAAAGAATAGAAAACAAGAGAAATAGAAAAGAGAGAACTGAAATAGAAGAAGAAGAAAAAAAAAAAAAAACAGAAAAAGAAAGAAATGCAGAAAAAGAAAGAAAACAGAATAAGAAAACAGAAAAACAGAAAGAAAATGCATTGCATAGAAAAAGTTTATGCATTTGTGCATATGCATCATGCCATTTCTACTATTCTGAGTTAGTTTCCCTATTTGTGCTTACATATCGGTAAATGAGAAACTAGAATCTTAGAAAGAGTAGAAAAGAATTGAGAAGTTTGGTGTAAGGAAAGAAAATCTAGGATTTGAGTAACAGAAAAAGAATAAAAGTTTTGTGGGTTTACTTACTGAGCAATTTGTGCTCACTCCGTTGATTTCACTGTTTTTGCAAGTAATAGATGAGATGCGGCCGAGAGGAACGTCAAGTAGCGGAGGAGAATGGCACCACTATCCGAGATTACTTTGTACTTTTTTTTTTTTTTGTGACTTTATTACTTGATGTAGAGATTTGTATATAAAGTTAAATTTATTTTGTGCCCACTATTACATTCTTATATACACATATATATTTTCTATAACATGTTAGTGAGTTTTACTTATATTTTTCCAAAGAACTACTAGCTAGACAGAATATTACAAATTTGTACATCTTTCCTCTCAACCATTTCTCTGATTAAATGATAATGCCTAAGTATGTGTTTGGAGTGCTGGTGAGACCATGGCTCCTTCGCTTAAGTTATTGCGCCATTGTTGTCACAATAGACTGTTATTGGTTCAATAATAGTAGAGACCACACCAAGTTTAGTGACGAACTTCTGGATCCAAACCACTTCTTTGGCCGCATCGGATATTGTGATATACTCAGCTTTTGTTGGAGAATTTGCTACAGTGCTTTGCTTGGAGCTCTTCTAGCTCACCGCACCCCCATTGAGACAAAATAAAAACCTGGATTGCAAGCGATAATCATTTATCCATTTGGAAACTAACATCATTGTATCCTCTTACAGTGAGCTCATCTTCCCTTTCATAAACCAAGAACATATCCTTAGTCATTTTTCAAGTACTTAAGGATGTTCTTGAAAGTTATCTAACGATGTTCATCTGGATCCAATTGATATCTACTACAAGTGCTTAATGCACATAAGACATCAATCCGAGTACATATAACATGACATACAAGATGGATCCAATTGCTGACGCATATGGGATCCTCTTCATTCTATCTCTCTCATCGTCCGTTTTAGGACACATATCCTTAGAGAGATAGACACCATGTGACATCGGAAGAAATCCCTTCTTAGATTCTTCCATATTGAATCTCTTAAGTACCTTGTCTATGTATGTACTCTGACTTAGGCCAAGCAACCTATGCGATCTATCACAGTAGATCTTTATTCTAAGGATGGAGGTTGCTTCTCTTAAGTCCTTCATGGGGAAGCACTTGGATAACCAAGTCTTTACCAACTGCAAGTTCTATATATCATTCCTGTTCAAAAGTATGTCATCGACATACAACACCAAGAATGCCACTACGCTCCCACTTACTTTCTTGTAAACATAGGGCTCATCTTCATTCTTGATAAAACCGAATTCTTTTGCGGCTTCATCAAAACAAATGTTCCAGCTCCTTGAAGCTTGCTTGAGTCCATAAATGGACCTTTGCAACTTGCATATCTTATTAGCTTGTCCATCAAGAACAAAACCATCAGGTTGGGTCATATACACATCCTTTTCAAGGTTTCCATTCAGGAAAGCTGTTTTGACATTCATCTACAAAATTTCATAATCATGATATGTAGCAATCGCAAATATAATCTGGATGGACTTAATAATGGCAATTAGCGAAAAAGATAATTTATAGTCAAAACCATGAATTTGTTTGAAACCTTTGGCAATCAGTCGTGCCTTATAGGTATGCACCTTGCAATCAATGTCAGTCTTCATCTTGAAGACCCATTTTCACCCTAATTCGTAGGTTTTGGGTTCATTGACTTGGTAGACTAATACGTCACCATGTTGAGTCACGAGAAAACCATATCTCTCGGGCTCATGGCATACTCTTTCGGACCTACGTAGCTCTTGTGCTACTTCAGATGGTTCACTTTGATCCACAGAGTGTGGAGTAACCTTTTCACGATGTTCAACTACTTCCTATGGCACATCCTCTTTTCCTTCATCTAATGCATTTTGTGGTTTTAGAACTTCATCGAATTCTACTTTTCTCCCACTAGTACTTCTTAGAAAAAATTCTTTCTCTAAGAAGACACCAGTGCAAGCGACAAAAATTTTGTTCTCTTTTGGGTGGTAGAAATAATATCCTTAACACCTTTGCATCCCAAGGCAATCCTGTAGAAGAAAGTGTCTAGAAAGAAAGCAAATCACATAGTGGCCCTTGCAGTAACCAATAATCCTACCATAGAGAAGTATCTCGCCCATCACCAATGCATGTGACAATAAGACCTCGACACCAATCTTGGCTGAGTAGAATCTTTTTCCAAGGCCACAAAGCCCCAGAATTAACTCGGATATGCCAAAAAATGTGACCCCTCAAAGTCACTTCACTCGTAGCTCGTTGGCTCGTTCATTCACTTGCTCATGAACTTGCAACTTTGCCAAAAGTGACTAGTCGCCTCATTTCCTTCACCAAAAGATGCTTAGCCAGAAGCGACGAAGGGGGAAGGCTGACGACTACATAAGGGGAATAGGTCCCATCCGGTCTACAAAAATAGAACTAGAACGATAACTCGTGTCTTTACTTTAGAGTTTCCATTAGTTATCCGATTAAAATGGACATAAATTCATATTCGATGCCTTGACTTGAGTTTCAGATTCATTCAAACCAAAATGAACTACCCCATTACAATAGGGTGACGGGCAACCAATCAGATTGACTTTGTGTTGTTATGTATTTGCCTTGGCGTATATCAATCTGATATGGCTCGGTGTGGATGGTAGGCAGTCCTATAAGTATTAGTGAAAGGTCTCACAATGAGCCACTAGCTTAGAGTTCGGTGCGAGGATCTACCCTCTTCCTTTAGGCTAGTTCCGCTCTATATAAGAAAGTGACCAAAAGCATCATAATAGAAGAAGAGCGGTCGAAGGGAAGTCCATTTCATTTAGTGGTCTTTATCATCGTAAAATAAGAAAAAGAAAAGTAGTTGCGCTTTCATGCCTAGAGTAGTAAGTTATTGAATCAGATCTTCTTTTAGCCGGTCTTTCTGGTTTTTACTATCAATAAGAGGCTATTCTTTCAAACTTGGATTAAGCTTTCACTCAATAGTCTGGCAACTTCCTTGCCTAACCTCTTTACCTTTCTTTGGTACATTCTTCTCTAAGCTCTCAGTCAGTTCTTTCCTTACGAAGAGGTTCTTTTCTGAATGTCATTATCTTCCCTTCCTCACCTCGGGAATACTGCAATTCCCACCTCCATGTGTATTGCGTCTTTGCTTCAAAGAGGGTTAACGAAGACGAAGTCAATTACCTCTTGTTTCAAAAGGAGTTCATTTTATGGATAAGAAAGCTCATGGTGGAAATGTGGGTTTAAAGTTGGATCTTAGGAAGGCTTTTGATACTATGAGCTGGGATTTGATTTTGTTTGTTCTTGGACACTTTGGCTTCTGTGAGACTTTTATTTCATGGGTGAAAACTATCTTGGAATCAACTTCGTGTTTTTCCAGCTAGATGAAACAAAATCTTGAAAGGAGCCGTTGTAACGCCCCACTTGAGGTACGTATTGGTTGATTCTTCTTTCGCTCTTATTTGAGTTGGTTTTTGGTAATATTGTTTGATTGAGTGTTGTGTTGAATGCTTGCCCTGAAATTGGTTGAAAATAGAAGAAGTTTAGTATTTCAGTCTTCGCCGGGGCGAAGAAGAATCTTCGCCGCGGCGAAGAGGTGTTGAAGCCACGGGGAAGCTGCTGGACAGTTTCGCCGCGGCGACAGGCCGATTAAAATGTTTGTTAAGTTTTAGATATTTTNGCTAAGCATATCCTCAAGAATTTCCTCACATTCTCTTGTGTCTTTCAAATACCCATGCTGAACACCTTCGCTAATCATCTCATCCCACTTCTTGTCATCCATGTAGAAGTATTCATCCTTCACCATCTTCTTCATAACATATTCCTCTGCATCATACAAATGTTCAATCTCCTCATCAGTCTTATACAACTCCTCAAAATCCGACTCAACCTCTTGCTCCTTGACATCGTCCAGTGGCTTCATCCGCAGTTCTTCTACCAACTCATCATCAGTCTCCTCATGCTTCCCTGTCAACTTCCTCCGCAAGATTGCTTCAAGAATATCTGGCAACGCTTCTTCATCGCCTTTAAAATACTTCTCTATCCGCATTTTCAGCTCTGACATCAAACAACAAACGATTAAATCACATATAATTTAAATCCCAGAAATCCGGTACAACATTTTTTTCAATCTAAGCTTCGAATTTTTCCAAAATACATTTCAGCAATACAAAATAAACCAAACCCAGAAACTTTTAATAAATCCTAGCTGAGAATTCTACCAGAATAAATTTCAGATTCAATTAAAAAAAAAAAAAAAATCAGACACAGAAAACTTGCTTTCACTTTCCTCCATTTTCCCACCAACCAAACACATTCAAAACACAAATATAAACTTTTTTACCTTTATTACCCACATCCTGAACATCGAGAGACACGTCCTTCTCCTGGGTTTGAGCTGCCAATGTGGATTCAGCAGCAGGGGCAGGGAGGTCTTGGTCATTAGAGGAGTCGTTTGAGTCGGACGAGTAGAGTCTGAGCGGAGACCGAGTCGAAGCAGCGAGTGGAATGAGTGATGGATTAGGGTTTGGATTGTGCAGAAGGTTTCGCGTAAGCAGAGAAACATTTTTTAGCAGAGTTCGTCTCATTTTTGATTGTTAGGGTTTTAGATCAGGGGTTTGTGAATTTTATCACAAGCTTAAGGGCCTGTTGGCTGGTCACCTATAACTGATTCTGAGATTTGCCTCCATATTAAGGGGAAAAAAAAAAGTTATTATGTTAATTAATGATTTTTTTTTTTTTTAAATCTATAAATTCTAAATAAATCTCTGTACTTTTAAATTGTTAATTTTAAATACACAAGTAGATTTAGGTTTTAAATATATTCCCAATATTATTTGATGAGAATATTCAATTTTTTCCCCTATTTTTATTTATTAAGCAAAATTATTGTGATTACCATTACATTTTACCTTGGTTAATGGTTATGCCCAATTTCCAATTTGTTACGGCTAAATACACTTGAATTTACCACTTTAATAAATAAATAATGATTTATTTAGCATAAATAAATCTTGAAATTCTTTAACATGATAAATTCCAAGAAAGCCTTGGTAGATCAATAGTACTAGTCCATAGTTAATTAGGTCATTTTGTCTGAGTCAGTTTGCACGTACCTCAATTAATCCCTCAAGACCTTGGAATTGTCAATTGGCGACCAAACAAAAGCTCAGATGACCATCCCTATTAATGTATAGGGAGGACTCGAACATAAGAGCTCATGAAGCATCATTTTGCTCTTTTACCATCAGGTCATCTAGTGGTGGTTAATTTTAAGTCCTTATCATCAACATTTTCTTTATATTTTAATTACCACAATTATATATATATATACATATAGGACAGACGATGTGTCAAAAGAGAAATCTTCTTTGGCTGATTTGAACTTTCACGGCGGAGGATGTGCTGCTGGTTGTGGCGCTGGCTGCTGTGCATGATAATAACTTGCAGCTCTTGATCATCATGGTAGAATTAATTTTAAGGTTTTTAGTTTTTGAAATGAAATCAATTTAGAGAGATAGTAAAATGACGCTTAGTGTATGCATTTTGTTTCCGCGAAGAAACCCAAAGCATTTTTTCAGAAGCCACCAGATCACAAAAGGTCTGCTTGGGAGTTTCAGGGTAGCGGTTTTGAGGGTAAACCATCGTAGCGGTTTTGAGGGTAAATCATTATAGTGATTTTGAGGGGTTTTTAGTAACGGTTTTTAAAACACCCAACCTGTGCTTGGGAGTTTATTTTCCAATGGTTCTGACAGTTTTTAAAAATGTAAAGCGCACTCACTCTAACGGCGTACCTTTTGCATGATGGGTCAGCGAGGAAATGGGAACAGCGGCTTAAGCCATTAGGTGTAGGCGCTTTCCAGAGGTGGAATCTTATAGTTCTTCCTATTTGACCCTAAACCGATCGATCTAGCCATGAGCAGGTTGAAGAGAGCTCTAACAGGCCTTGGAGGACCGAACCCACGTATGTGGCAAAATATGGGGATGACTTGTGGCTAGGGGTGAAAGGCCAACCAAGATCGGATATAGCTGGTTTTCCCCATAAAGTTAAAACACTTTTTTGCTGAATTAACTTTGATAAATACAAATAATGCCTACATTATTTGTTTTTATTTTCTTTCTTTCCCATCAAACAAGAGGCTCTCTCTCATTACGTGTTTGTTGAAGTTTAAAATGTATTTTGATGAAATATATAAGAATCTGTATCTGCACAATTGATGGTTTGCCCCAGAACAGTATGAACTTGATAACGTTTAGGCTCAACTTTAAAACATTTGCTTAATTCAATTTTCACACAACAGCTTTTATTAACTTTATAATTAATTCAATTCCTACATCAAAAGTAAAACATGTGAGCCATAAATAATTACACTTCATCCCAATATGGCCCCGGGTTTGCGATCAGCCAGAGGTGCAGCTTCAAACCCAAAATCACTATAAAACATATATTTGCTTTCCTACACTTCACAGTCCCACAGACTCTTCCACTTTAACTATTTAACAGACCCTATTAAAATCCAGTATTAACAAGCATTTTAACACCTAGAGTTAAGAATATATGAAATTATAAATCCAATACAGGTTCTGCAGTATTAGACAAAGAATCATTTCATACTTACCAGTCCTTCAAGTGCAAACAATAAAAAACGCGTTCCCCTACAAGCATTTCTACAAACATTCCAACACAAAATCCATCCAAATAACATGGAAATAAACAAAGAATAGCTCAACGTTGTTTCATAACAGCAAATCCTTATTTACTCATAAATCCATTACCAAATGAGCATTTTGCACTAGATAAAAACAAAATTAATTAGGATGTGCATCAACTAAATCAAAAAACCACTTTTAAGTTTCTTCAAGCCAAACAGTCAAAAAAACCTGCCGTTTCTTCTTTGCTCCAATATTAAACTGCTCTTTAGTTTTGCACAACTTGGTACCCAAGTTGAGGAATGTTATACACGTGCTTGATTCCTCGAGTATTAGCGCATTGTTTTTATCAGTACTGTCATATTTTTGTGTATGGCATCTTGGCACTATTCCAAGTCATCTTATTTTGTATAAAAACAATATATCAAGTTCTTAGCTTCTGGAATTCTTTTCTTCACTTCATTATTTTTCTCTTCTTTACTTTTACCTTTTTAGTTCCAATTAGGTTGATACAAGATGCCACAGAAAGATAACCCTCCCTATCTTTGACACCGCCCATCGATGAGCAATTCCTTCTTGTTCTGATTTTGACGTCGTCCAAATTCCTTCTTCGTTGATATCCAGTAACATTGTAGTTGGTATTATTAAAAAATATATATATATATAACCTTGACAACCTCACTTCTTGTCCTACCAAAAAGAGGCATGTACCATCAAAATATACAAAAGATCTATACCAACTTGGTAACTTTTCAAGCCCTTGCTCTGTTCACACATACATAATGAAAATCCTTTTTGAATAATAATATCATCACAGAATCTTTTAGCGCAAAGAACGAATTATGAAGCTCCCACTGTTAACGAAAAAAATGAAAGTTCTCTGTGGTTAATCAACCAACAAACAAGCCGGTTAGCTGCATCAGCATATGATATTATATTGATGCCACCATACACTACAGGAAGATGTTTTGCCCCTAAATTTGCAGAACAAAACTGCTGCAAATTAATATCCAGAAATTGGAATCCTCAACCTGGAAGTTTATTTCTCCATGTGGTTGCTATTCAAAATTTCATGCACTCACAGAGTTAGATCCTTGATCTCATTGTCTTGGCATGCAACCTCTCCATGAATGCTGGATTTGCTCTGAGTCTATCCTTCACATAAGAAGTTTCGGCATCCTCCACCATCTTGTTTCTTTCCCGGCTTCCTCAATCAGGGAAAAGAGAGTCCTAAGGCAATCTTTTCGGTTTTCTTCTCGGTGTTCAAACCTGCAAAAGATAATGTTCTATAGTTATCTTCAACTGCACAGAATACAATATGCCATTAAAGTCTAACTGGGAAGTATTACTATTGGTAAAGCTTCAGTCTGGCAAAGCATACGATTGTTTTTTTTTTTTTTTTTTTTTTTTTTTTTAGCAAAACAAGACTACGGATGATTCAGTCAAGGTAAAGAGGAATGTACAGTGATATTTTACATTTCCCCAAGCACTTAGAAAAATAGGTTGATTGTAGTCTCATACTTGCAAATCAGGCAGAAATTTCATGATAAATATGCCAATTTTCTTACGGTGAGGGCTCATGGGAATAGAATATCAGAAAATTTCAGCAATAGAGCAAAGTTATTTTTCTAAAAATCTGTCAAGGCCAACACTTGCGTGTAAAACTTTCTGGATAAAAAATGTGATAATATTAGTAAGTTTGTTGGCTTTACCTCTCACTGGTGATGGTAACTCATCTTTCCCTGGATGATACCTTTTCCCAACTAGTTCTCTAAGCCTACGGAATTGATGTTTTGAAAGCCCGAGCTCTTTCACAGTAACAGACATTTTTACTTTCCTGTTTTTGGGATGCCAAGCATCACCACCAGGAAGAAGACAACCCTGTTTGCCATCAAGGATTGTCCCTCTCCTGGTGGGTCATCAATGTCCTTTTCATCATGCCGCACTGCAGATAAATCAACCTGTGGAAGACCCTCTGCTTAACCTTTTTCATGTATCCAGAGACTATCTCATCCTCAAACTTCTTAAACGCTCGTATGCTTGTTCAGGTTCAAGCTCCCTCTTTCACACATACCCAGCTCATGAACTTCTCCTCAACACTTTTCTTGATATCATCTGAAAGAATTAGAATTTGAGAAAAATCCAGACAATGCAAATACAAAATGAATTATGCAACTACCATGTCATAAATACTTAAAAAGTTAGACAAAATTATTTACAAAAAATAAGCAAATGCTTTCATTTCACTCACGAAATTAGACTTGGAAATGTTCCACCGGAAATAGTCTAATGGGATATGACAAATAAATAAACCATAGTGGAAAACAGTACAGGAAAAGCATGATATGGAGAAGGGAAAACCTGTTACTAGAAACACCCAAAGTTACAAGGGAGTGGAAGAGGGATTCAACCAGCCATTATTTTCACATCACATATATGACTGCATGTACATGGACATCCATCATGTTGACAGCAGACAGGTTAACAATCATATCGGATCTACAACTCATTATGTCATTTTTCTGAATTCACATTCTGGTCGCTCAATGAACTATTGTTATAAAAAGGTGTGGAATATCAAAACACGCCATAGATTTCTTGACTCAGGATCCTCTGATAACAACATGACGCTCCACTTATCTCATCCTTAAAACACTAGATTACCAAATTTTTCCTCGTCCTACAGTCTAAGTTACCTTCTTGCCTCAAAATTTAACTACTTAAGCTTTTCCTAGCAACACCGGTCAAGGCTACCCCCCTGACTCATAATTATTTCTTTTTTCAACACCTCAGATTCTTAGGTGACCCAAGGACCATAATAACCATTAATGTAAAAATTGCAAAACTGCAAGATCCAGGCAATATTGTGACTAATTGAAAGGCCTTCACAGATTCCATCATATATACGCATGAAAGGTCCTAACAATATCATTAACTAGTCCTTTTGACTTTACTAGCCATCTCAGGAAGCTTATTGTTTTCCCAGATATCTTTCAAAGCATATTGGCATAATTGCATACAGAATTTGCTTCGCAACACAACTCCACTCTGAATATCACAACGTTCTCAGAAACATTTCAAAGCAAACATGAACATAAGAAAATTGATGAAATTTTATAATTCTAACCCATCAAATACAGCTAGTAAACAAAATCTAGTTTCGAATCTACTTCCAAGCATGGTCTACGAAGAGAGCAATAAATAAATACCTTTTTTCAAGAACCACATAATATGAGATGATATCCCAATAAGAAAGTTACAGAAAAAAGTCCCTGGCAGTTTGTCCCAGCTAGCATATCCTCAAGAATTTCCTCACATTCTCTTGTGTCTTTCAAATACCCATGCTGAACACCTTCGCTAATCATCTCATCCCACTTCTGTCATCCATGTAGAAGTATTCACCTTCACCATTTCTTCATAACATATCCTGCATCATACAAATGTTCAATCTCCTCATCAGTCTTATACAACTCCTCAAAATCCGACTCAACCTCTTGCTCCTTGACATCGTCCAGTGGCTTCATCCGCAGTTCTTCTACAACTCATCATCAGTCTCCTCATGCTTCCCTGTCAACTTCCCCGCAAGATTGCTTCAAGAATACTGGCAACGCTTCTTCATCGCCTTTAAAATACTTCTCTATCCGCATTTTCCTCTGACATCAAACAACAAACGATTAAATCACATATAATTAAATCCCAGAAATCCGTACAACATTTTTTTCAATCTAAGCTTCAATTTTTCCAAAATACATTTCAGCAATACAAAATAAACCAACCCAGAAACCTTTTAATAAATCCTAGCTGAGAATTCTACCAGAATAAATTTCAGATTCAATTAAAAAAAAAAAAAAATCAGACACAGAAACTTGCTTTCACTTTCCTCCATTTCCCCACAACCAAACACATTCAAAACACAATATAAACTTTTTTACCTTTATTACCCACATCCTGAACATCGAGAGACACGTCCTTCTCCTGGGTTTGAGCTGCCAATTTTGAGATGAAATCAATTTAGAGAGACAGTAGAATGACGCTTAGTGTATGCTTTTTGTTTCCATGAAGAAACATATATTCCATAATTTACATTTAATAAATCATGCATGGAAATGAAGTTCAATATCATTTCTCTGTTTAAAATACAAATATTTACAATAATGAAGGGCAAGCCCTTTCTATGGAAGAAACCCAAAGCGTTTTTTCAGAAGTCACCAGATCACTAAGATATAAACTAATCTTACATTTTATTCATCTTATAGTAAATGTATCCTGTCAAGTTTATGCTATATATGTTTGTTTTTTACCAAAAAAAAATAAAATTACTAGAAGCCATTCATAGGAAGTGCATTTACTTAATAAATGCAGTTTCAGCACTCCGATGCAAAGTGCTTTCAAAAGTCACACACACATACTACATTACTAAACAAATTCACAACAGAAAGGTTTCTTAAAGGAAAATAACTTTCTACAAAAGCAGTCCAAAGCGCTTTTAAAAGTCACAATATAAAATAAACTCATTCAAACATCAAATGCCGAACAAACTAGATTGTAAAACCGGGCTGAGTAAATGAATAAATCAGAAATTAATATATGGCTGATATGGTTAATTAGTAAAGGAGAGCAACATTTTTCAAAATAACCCACAATTGGGTAGTCTAGCTAATTAGGGTGAATTAAGGATAGTGTGGATATCCGAACTGTCTTAGATTCAATTCATCATTTGAACGTCTGCGATTTAAGTGGGAGGCCGTAAAAGTATGTTGTTGTGTTAATCTCCCCTGAGAATTAATCGAGGTGCACGTAAATTGGTTTTGATATTTTTGTTAAAAAAAAAAAAAAAAAATTTGAAATGTCGATTTTGTAACAACTCACGTGAGTGATGACTAATGAATAATGTCGTTACATGAGTTAATATAGTGCTAATAAGAATTTTAGTATTAAATATTTTTACTTAAGTTATATATTAATAATGACACCGAAAGGTAAAAGTCTAAAAGATTGGCATTATTAATATATAATAATGCAACTAATTAAGAAGGTAAAAAGATTAGCAATTAAGTATTCAATAATGCAATCTAGAAGGTAAAAGGGAGGAAGATTTGTATCCCTATCTCGATCATCCTTGTGACAATGCACTTAAATCGAGTTAAATGCGTTTAGGCATTAACTTTTAAATAAAACCCTATTCAAGCTTTGTGAATTTCAACTAACGGTAAGTCAACTCTTCTAAATTTTGAAGAATCTAATAATATTCATATATATGTATTTTTTTTTTTTTTTTTATCTATGCTTTTGTTATAGTAATTTTTCTTAATTATCAGTCACAAACACTCATAATTAATTAACAATAATACTATACTTACAAAGAGTATAGTTTTATTCCTTAATTAATGAACCTTTATAGTTTAAAATTTCAGTGGTTCTAAATGGCTTATACTGAATTTAATTTCCGTATCTCTCAAGGTGCAGGTTGAAAATAACCCCTAAATATCAAGGTTTAGTTTCTAAATGAAATAATAGCAATATAGAGTCAAGATGGCCGAGTTGGTCTAAGGCGCCAGTTTCAGGTACTGGTCCGAAAGGGCATGGGTTCGAATCCCATTCTTGACATAAAACTTTTGCAGTTTTTTTTTTCTACTGTGAAAATTTGATTTAATCAAAACTACAAAGTTTTCATTTCAGAGAACAATTTACCACTGATTCTTCCTCTCTCTTTTGATCACATAACTTTTAAAGAACTAATGATAATGTAATAATTGATGGATATTTATCACTCATGCAATTACAATTACAAAGATGTCTTCTGTTCATACCATTGCAAAATTTAAAGTAAGTGCTACAATAGAATAGTTTACTGAAATATTATAGCCTGACTGAAGAAAATAAGGAATTATATAACGCGAAACTGCCACAAAATTGATGAGATTGTAACTTCAACTACTGGTAAAACTCAACAAGAAGCTTGCCTTAAACATTGCAACTTTTTAGGTCTATTCATCATCCTATCCTATTTCCTTTGAGCATCCAATCAGTTGACACAATTACTATGTGATTTATATGGCAAACTCTCAGAATCAATATCTGAAAATGATGAATATGTTGCATAAATCTTATCTGATCCACAACAAGCCCTGTGAGTTAAACGCTTCGCAACTCGCCATACAACCATGCATGGTAGCCTGATGCAACACCAGCAGAGAGAAAGGGGGCAACAAAGGCACAACATACAAGCACTACAAGCAAACTCTACAATTTTCCCATAGCATTTGCAATTTCTTCTCTCTGCAGAAGAACAAGAAGAATTAGTTCTTTGCTTCATATGCTTATCTGGGTATTTTTCCTTTACTTGATCTTGAAGAAGAAGCCTGCTTTCCATTTTTGCTACTGTAATGGCACTATTAACAGTCTTTTAAATGGTTGGTGATGATGTATCTGAGGCTGTAAATAATCCCATTCTGGAGAAACTTAGGAGGGTTTCTTTTGTCAACTTTATGAACCTGCAGTTTCTTCTTTCCTCCAATATTAAACTTGCTCTTTACTTTTGCACAACTTGGTACCTAAGTTGAGGAATGTTATACACGTGCTTGATTCCTCGAGTATTAGCGCATTGTTTGTTATCAGTACTGTCATATTTTTGTGTATGGCATCTTGGCACTATTCCAAGTCATCTTATTTTGTATAAAACAAATATATCAAGATTCTTAGCTTGCTGGAATTCTTTTCTTCACTTCTTTATTTTTCTCTTCTTTACTTTTACCTTTTTAGTTTCCAATTAGGTTGATACAGAATGCCACAGAAAGATAACCCTCCCTATCTTTGACACCGCCCATCGATGAGCAAGATTCCTTCTTGATCTGATTTTGACGTCGTCCAAAATTCCTTCTTCATTTGATATCCCGGTAACAATTTGTAGTTGGTAATTATTAAAAAAAATATATATATATATATAACCTTGACAACCTCACTTCTTAGTCCTTACCTTCAAAAAGAGGCAATGTACCATCAAAATATACAAAAGATCTATAGCAACTTGGTAACTTTTCAAGCCCTTGCTCTGTTCACACATACATAATGAAAATCCTTTTTGAATAATAATATACATCACAGAATCTTTTAGCGTAAAGAACGAATTATGAAGCTCCACACTGTTAACGAAAAAAATGAAAGTATCTCTGTGGTTAATCAACCACAAGAACATAAGCCGGTTAGCTGCATCAGCATATGATAATTTATATTGATGCCACCATACACTACAGGAAAGATGTTTTGCCCCTAAATTTGCAAGAACAGAAACTGCTGCAAATTAATATCCAGAAATTGGAAGTCCTCAACCTGGAAGTTTATTTCTCCATGTGGTTGCTATTCAAAATTTCATGCACTCACAGAGTTAGATCCTTGTGATCTCATTGTCTTGGCATGCAACCTCTCCATGAATGCTGGATTTGCTCTGAGTCTATCCTTCACATAAGAAGTTCGAGCATCCTCCACCATCTTGTTTGCTTTCCCGGCTTCCTCAATCAGGGAAAAGAGAGTCCTAAGGCAATCTTTTCGGTTTTCTTCTCGGTGTTCAAACCTGCAAAAGAATAATGTTCTATAGTTATCTTCAACTGCACAGAATACAAATAGTGCCATTAAAGTCTAACTGGGAAGTATTACTATTGGTAAAGCTTCAGTCTGGCAAAGCATACTGATCGTTTTTTTTCTTTTTTTTTTTTTTTTTTTTTTTTTTTTTTTTAGCAAAACAAGAGTACGGATATTCAGTCAAGGTAAAGAAGCATGTACAGTGATATTTTACATTTCCCCAAGCACTTAGAAAAATGGGTTGATTATAGTCTCATACTTGCAAATCAGGCAGAAATTTCATGATAAATATGCCAATTTTCTTACGGTGAGGGCTCATGGGAATAGAATATCAGAAAATTTCTGCAATAGGAGCAAAGTTATTTTTCTCAAAAATCTGTCAAGGACCAACACTTGCAGTGTAAAACTTTCTGGATAAAAAATGTGATAATATTAGTAAGTTGTTGGCTTTACCTCTCACTGGTGATGGTAAGCTCATCTTTCCCTGGATGATACCTTTTCCCAACTAGTTCTCTAAGCCTACGGAATTGATGTTTTGAAAGCCCGAGCTCTTTCACAGTAACAGACATTTTTACTTTCCTGTTTTTGGGATGCCAAGCATCACCACCAGGAAGAAAGACAACCCGTGTTTGCCATCTAAGGATTGGTCCCTCTCCTGGTGGGTCATCAATGTCCTTCTTCATGTCCGGCACTGCAGATAAATCAACCTGTGGAAGACCCTCTGCTTCAACCTTTTTCATGTATCCAGAGACTATCTCATCCTCAAACTTCTTAAACAGCTCGTATGCTTGTTCAGGTTCAAGCTCCCCTCTTTCACACATATCACCCAGCTCATTGAACTTCTCCTCAACACTTTTCTTGATATCATCTGGGGAAATAATTAGAATTTGAGAAAAATCCAGACAATGCAAATACAAAATGAATTATGCAACTACCATGTCATAAATACTTAAAAAGTTAGCAAAAATATATTTACAAAAAATAAGCAAATGCTTTCATTTCACTCACGAAATTAGACTTGGAAATCGTGTCCACCGGAAATAGTTTAATGGGATATGACAAATAAATAAACCATAGTGGAAAACAGTACAGGAAAAGCATGATATGGAGAAGAGGGAAAACCTGTTACTAGAAACACCCAAAGTTACAAGGGAGGATGGAAGAGGGATTTCAAACCAGCCATTATTTTCACATACACATATATGACTGCATGTACAATGGACATCCATCATGTTGACAGCAGACAGGTTAACAATCATATTAGACATCTACAACTCATTATGTCAATTTCTTCAGAATTCACATTCTGGTCGCCTCAATGAACTATTGTTATTAAAAAGGTGTGGAATATCACAACACGCCATAGATTTCTTGACTCAGGATCCTCTGATAACAACATGACTGCTCCACTTATCTCATCCTTAAAACACTAGATTATACCAATTTTTTCCTCGTCCAATACAGTCTAAGTTACCTTCTTGCCTCATAATATTTAACTACTTAAACTTTTCCTAGCAACACCGGTCAAGGCTACCCCCCTGACTCATAATTTATTTCTTTTTTTCAACACCTCAGATTCTTAGGTGACCCAAGGACCATAATAACCATTAATGTAAAAATTGCAAAACTGCAAGATCCAGGCAATATTTGTGACTAATTGAAAGGCCTTCACAGATTCCATCATATATTACAGCATGAAAGGTCCTAAGCAATATCATTAACTAGTCCTTTTGACTTTACTAGCCATCTCAGGAAGCTTATATTGTTTTCCCAGATATCTTTCAAAAAGCATATTGGCATAATTGCATACAGAATTTGCTTGCGCAACACAACATCCACTCTGAAATATCAAAAACGTTCTCAGAAACATTTCAAAGCAAACATGAACATAAGAAAATTGATGAAATTTTATAATTCTAATCCATCAAATACAGCTAGTAAAACAAAATCTAGTTTCGAATCTACTTCCAAGCATGGTCTACGAAGAGAGCAATAAAATAAATACCTTGTTTCAAGAACCACATAATATGAGATGATAATCCCAATAAGAAAGTTACAGAAAAAAGTACCTGGCAGGAGTTTGTCCCAGCTAAGCATATCCTCAAGAATTTCCTCACATTCTCTTGTGTCTTTCAAATACCCATGCTGAACAGCTTCGCTAATCATCTCATCCCACTTCTTTTTATCCATGTTGAAGTATTCATCCTTCACCATCTTCTTCATAACATAATCCTTTGCATCATACAAATGATCAATCTCCTCATCAGTCTTATACAACTCCTCAAAATCCGACTCTATCTCTTGGTCCTTGACATCGTCCAGTGGCTTCATCCGCAGTTCTTCCATCAACTCATCATCAGTCTCCTCATGCTTCCCTGTCAACTTCCTCTGCAAGATTGCTTCAAGAATAGCTGGCAACGCTTCTTCATCGCCTTTAAAATACTTCTCTATCCGCATTTTCAGCTCTGATATCAAACAACAAACGATTAAATCACATATAATTTAAATCCCAGAAATTCAGTACAACATTTTTTTCAATCTAAGCTTCGAATTTTTCCAAAATACATTTCAGCAATACAAAAAAAATCAAACCCAGAAACCTTTAATAAATCCTAGCTGAGAATTCTACCAGAATAAATTTCAGATTCAATAAAAAAAAAAAAAAAAATAAGACACAGAAAACTTGCTTTCACTTTCCTCCATTTCCCACCAACCAAACACATTCAAAACACAAATATAAACTTTTTTACCTTTGTTACCCACATCCTGAAAATCGAGAGACACGTCCTTCTCCTGGGTTTGAGCTGCCAACGTGGATTCAGCAGCAGGGGCAGGGAGGTTTTGGTCATTAGAGGAGTCGTTTGAGTCGGACGAGCAGAGTCTGAGTGGAGACCGAGTGGAAGCAGCGAGTGGAATGATTGATGGATTAGGGTTTGGATTATGCAGAAGGTTACGCGTAAGGAGAGAAACATTTTTTAGCAGAGTTCGTCTCATTTTTGCTTGTTAGGGTTTTAGATCAGGGGTTTGTGAATTTTATCACAAGCTTAAGGGCCTGTTTGGCTGGTCACCTATAGGCTATACCTGATTCTGAGATTTGCCTCCATATTTATTACGTATTCTTAAGGGGAAAAAAAAAAAAGAGCTTATTATGTTAATTTTTTTTTTTTTTTTTAAATCTATAAATTCTAAATAAATCTCTGCACTTTTAAATTGTTAATTTTAAATACACAAGTAGATTTAGGTTTTAAATATATTCCCAATATTATTTGATGAGAAAATTCAATTTTCCCCTTTTTTATTTATTAAGCAAAATTATTGTGATTACCATTACATTTTACCTTGGTTAATGGTTATGCCCAATTTCCGATTTGTTACGGCTTAAATACACTTGAATTTACCACTTTAATAAATAAATAATGATTTATTTAGCATAAATAAATCTAGAAATCCTTTTAATATGAAAAATTCCAAAGCAAGTCTTGGTAGATCAATAGTACTAGTCTAGACCTTGGAATTGTCAATTGTCGACCAAATAAAAGCTCAGATGACCATCCCTATTAGTGTATGGGGGACTCGAACACAAGAGCTCATGAAGCTTCCTTTTGCTCTTTTACCATCAAGACATCTAGTGATAGTTAATTCTAAGTCCTTATCCTCAACATTTTCTTTATATTTTAATTACCACAATCAATACAATTATATATATATGTGTGTGTGTAATGCTACGTCAAGCATTGTCACGATAGCTCCACCACACCCCAGATGCAAAAGAAGAAGAAGAAGATATATGAGTAATGTTACACAAAGCACTGTCACAACAGCTCTACTACACTAAAGAAGAAGAAGAAGAAGAAATAATGTTACGCCAAGCATTGTCATGATAGCTCCACCACATCGAAGAAGAAGATAATATATGAGTAATGCTACACAAAGTCTGTCACAGCAACTCCATGCACCAACGCCAAGCAGTGTCATGGTAGCTCCACCACACCAAAGAAGAAGAAATGCTTTCTTTGGAGAGAATAATAGATCAGTACAGATGTCTAGTGTTTCAAAGCTCGATATATGCCTTACCAGGGTTTATACAAAGAGAAGAAAGAAATGAACTCCATTTTTCATATCCTCAAATCCATTACAACTTCACCGACTGCCACCACCACCGTCTCCTCTGCATTGCTCTCCACTGCATTAATAGAAAACTCAAATCATTATTCGTTCCTCTACATTTCTAGAAAATGTATATATGTTGTTTTCGTTTCAATTAAGGACTCAACTAAGGTTTTTTGTGTTTTCATTCAATATTTGTTTCATTTTTCTATAATATTTGTTTATATATTAATTGCTTTCTTCTCTCAATCGAAGTTGAAGAACAAAAGCTTTAGTTGGCAATAACCAAGAGAGAGAAACAAATCGTTTGAAACACTGAATCAATGAATTGAATGCATTGAATAAGGGTAGGATATTGGTGAAATAATTAAACAAACGCTTCGGAACCCGGGCCAAAGCAAGTTCAAAAGCAAAAAACCTCTCTCTAAGACGCTAACTTGTCTTCGTCAAACTTAAGTTCTTCTCCAATCGATCTAGTCGTCAGCCCCGTAGGTGCATCCGGCGTTGTCGCTCTCCAACTGTCAGCTCTCTATCGTCCTTTCGTCATTTTTCTTTTTGGCAAACTTCTTCTTCTTCTCCAATCGCTCCAGTCGTCAGTCCTTCGTCGTGCATCTAGCATTGTCGAGCTCTAATTGTCAGCCTTTTGTCATTTTTTTTTTTTTTGGGTAATGAGTTAATCTGTTTTCTTCATATGAATCTTTTTGTTTAAATCTTTATTTCTAGTCATATAGTCTTGATTCGCTTGATTTTGCCAAATTTTTTGTTCTAATCTAGGCCATTAAATCCTAGGGTTTATTCTTCATTTGTGATGTTTGAAGTTTGAGTGTTGGCTGATGGTGCTGAAGCTTGCGTTTTTTTTTTTTTTTTGGTTTGGTTTTTGCTGGTTACTTTGTATTTGTATGCTTCTACTACTTGCGGTTGGTGCTGCTAGGCTGCATGTTTTTGGATTTGGTGCTGGCCCCTTCTCTTGCTGGTTGGGTTAGTCGGGTTCTTGGGTTGGATTTTTATGCTTCTACTGCTGTTTGGTTTTTTCTTAAACATTCTTTTGTGGGTTTATGTCTAATGTGACATTTAATACGCTGACTTGTTTCTATAATTCAGCAATGGATACTTTCTTTGGCTCGAGCAATACTGACATCTTCTTTAATGTGATCACCAGGTTGCAAACAAAATGTTTGCTTAAAGTAAAGTGTGTTTGCAAAGGATGGTATCATCTTCTATCTAACCGTGTTTTCATCAAGTGTCAGTTACAACAGCAAGAACCAATATTTGGATTCTTCTTCCAACAGAGGTTCAAGTGGTCCTCAGATGATAGGGATATTATTAATCATATCCCTGTTGATTCTAAAGCTGGATTGCAGTGGAGAATATTTAGTTTTCTCCTTGAAAATATTCCATCTATGTGTGCAATCCCTTGAACAAAGAATGGATCGGGATGGATTGGACCAAAGCTGATAAAGAAACCAATGTTGCTCTAGTTTTTTATCTGTGTCTAGAACCTATAAGTCGTACAGCTAATTTTAAATTGGTTCAAGTGCAACATTGTGAGGCTAGACCTAAGGATTTTTACTCATTTGATATATACTCTTCATATACTAATGATTAGAGAACATTAAAAGAGATTTGTCAATGCAATAATAGATTATACAAGAACAAAGGCACTCTTATTGGAGGGATCTTACATTGGTCGACTGATGGTGATGAAATCCTCACCTTCAATGTTGAAAATGAGCTTTCTTGGTTGATTTCAGTTCCAATTTCTACTGCAACACTAAGTAGCGTCTGTCGGGTATGTATTGGAGAATCTGATGGTAAGCTACATTATGTCATGGTCTCCAAATATGGATTTCAAGTTTGGTGATTGGAGAATTATTTTGAATACTAATTGATGCTTAAACACTCAAAAAGTCTTGATGAAATGGAAGAAGAACATCCAAAATTCCTGTGCAACTTACAGGTGAGGGTGACAAAGATTCTTGGTGATGAATTATCTCCATGGATGGATCCCTTGGCCTTCAAAGATGGGTACTTATTGATGATGGTGTGTACCAGCATCTACCTCTATAATGTCGACACAAATGAGATGAAGAGAGTCTGTAGAGTAAATGAGTTAAGTTCTGGTTCGTATTTCAATCCTATCGTTCTTCCATATTCTTTGAGTTTGGCTCCTTTAAGTTGGGGTTAGCGGATAGCAGAGGTGAGTTTTTGCTTCTCTAGTCTTTATCCTTTTTACTCTTTTGTATAGAACATATCAGTCTACGACAACAAGCTATGTGCCTTTGTTTCTCTACTGTATTCTGATTTGTCACAACTTTTTTATGTGGGTTTGTCTCAGGTAATTTTTGGTGTTGTGGTTTTTTTCCTCTGTGGCTCTGATTAAATCAATAGTCTCGTCTATTCTCTGTGATAGTATGCTGTGCGCCTTCATTTCTCTACTATATGTATTCTGATTTATCACAAGTTTTTTGTGTGAGTTTGTCTCAGGTACTTTTTGGTTGTGGGTTTTGTCCTCTGTGGCTCTGATTAAATCAATGGTGTTATATCAACTGTTTCCTTTAAAAACAAAATTGTCATTCTTTTTAACTACTTTTCCCGCTAATGTAGGGATGTATGATGGACGCACGACCACCACCAGCCAACCATGTCTTCAAAATGATGACCAACACCACCACACCTTTCAAAAGGCTACCTTTTATTTTTTGTTTTGCGTGCTACTGATTTCTTATTATCTTTTTACTTTCTGTCTGTGATTTGATTGTAATTATCTAGGGACTGTAGCAGGCAGCAATTATTGGATTGCCTGGGCAACTGATGAGAAGCACAAAGTTAGCAGAGAGCAGTTGCTAGGAGTATTTGTCTTCTTGTTAGGTAGGAGCTCTATCTTCATATTGGGAAGGGCAGTTTTGTTAGCAACTATTGCAATGAAGACTGCTCAGTGTTTCTTCCAGGACATGATTACTTCTGTTTTCAAAGCGCCATTTCATTCTTTGACTCCACACCTTCAAGCTTGATCTTCAATAGGGTCAGTTTTGTTGTTTTTGCTCTCTACATTGGTTGTGTATATGTCAAGAATTAATCCTCATTTTTTTTCTTTTCTATCATTGTAGTCTTAAGCATTACCAAAGATACTTCTGCAGATGTTTAATAATCAAAAGGCATTACGTTTGCTGCTGAAATACCTAAATTTCCATTTCTAGCCATGTGATTGCATCAGATTTCACACACTCTTATCTCCACTGTTAAAATCACATTTGCATCAGATTTCAAACACTTAGTTCTGGTCCTTCTCTGTAAATGCAAGCTGGTTAATAGTATTCCTCTTCATTCTCTTTTAAAATCTAGCTTTGCTTATATCAGTGGCATTGGATAGGGATGGGCTGGAGTTATATGGTTATACAACTTGATATTCTACATTCCGTTAAACATCATTAAGCTCACAGTTTCGTAGGCCTTGAGCGGAGAGGCCTAGAATCTCTTATTTGATAGAAAGGTCAATGTAGTGTTTCATACTTATCTAGATTTGATCATTCATCTTATCAAGGATTAAGCATAAGTTTAAAAATGCTTTTCATGCTTTTCCTATCTGATTTTGTGTTTCAACAGACTGAATTACTTCTAAGAAAGATTGCGGGAAGGAATATGTGCTTCTTGGCTATGGTTAGTCTCTTTTCTCTCTATTTAATATCAGCCCAATTAATGGTGTAAAGGAAATTGCAGATTGGAGTAATTATGGAATATTTATGCTAATAAATGGTTGGAAGAAGCCTGCTGTTTTGGTGTAATAGTACTTTGACTAACCTACTTTTTTCAGGTTATTTTTTAAAGGTGTTTTTGTAGATGCTATCGTCTGTGCAGTGTGTCTCCTTGATGTCTACAGAGTGTTTGGC